CTGTCTAGATCTTAGCATGGCATGTGATGTCCTCAAGTTCTGCAATCACGTGCTGTGAACTATGCTACTGGAACTGCTTAACAGCCTGTAGATATGCTCTGTGTCACCAAGGTAGACAAGTCAAAGTCAAGTGCTCGAATGTATGAAAACACAGTGTAACAGTAATATGTCTAACATATGTAATTGTTTACATCTATACATTGAATTGTCATATATTAAAATCAGTTTTTAAAACATTTTGAATGTCAGAAGTATTTAATGCTCAGTGTACACAAAAAGGGTAAGACATATGACAAAAATAATTTGCGAAGCTTATTTTTAGTTCCGGAAACCTGTATCGCGGAAGCGACATATTCCGCTCGTACTATTGTCTATTTTACTATAAATATACAGCAATAATTAGATGTAGACAATGTAATGGTAGCAAACATTTGTTCAATTTTAATTCTATATACCGACCGCATATACAGGAACTACACAACAAACAGTGAAATCAAGCACAACACGTTTGGAACGGCACGACGATTTACCCAAAAACACCCAAAAACACCCAAAACTACACAAAAACACCCAAAAACACCCAAAAACACACCCAAAACTACCCAAAAACACCTCACCGATAGCGTTTAGCTGAAGAAATAGTAAATTATTATACAAACTGTAACGAATGTATGCAATTTGTTTTATTATCTGCGGTATACGGAGGCAATTATTGACTTGCAAAATATATCGCTGCAAGTAAAGGGAGGTAAATCGTTCAAGAACGACAAGACAATATACACAACGATGCATTTGTATAAATATTTTACTAGATTTTTCAAAACTTTCAATCAACGTTGAAGGCAATTCCACCACACTCATCGAGTCCAATTCAAAATATTTTATTGTTAATACAAACAAACATAATTACAAGTACTACATAAGAAATATAATAGTACATGTATTAATACAACAGGCTAAGCCTATTTAAGTATTTTCCTGTATAACCGATATCAAATTATTTTAATTTCATTCAGATTTTGAATATGTATACCAAATAACATTATACCGGTATCACCTACATTCTTTGATATATAAAGTTACACAGTGAACTACATGAACAATCATTAATACAGAAATCTACAATATAATTAATTAATAAAGATAG